CGCTTCGGACGGCATCTTCATTATTAGCGCCACTGTCGACAAGGCCCACGAGCAGGTCGAGTTGAGCCTCAAGAGTGTCTTCTTTTCCAGCGAGGGCAAGATTGCCGGCAACAAAAGCCCTATGCCGCCTTGGATTGAAGAACTGCACCAGTGGTACTCGCGTATCATGAGTGAGACGGCGTCGTGGAAGTTGTTGAAATAATTGGGCCGGCGAGGCTGCTGCCTGTGGCCGGAACCGGCTATTTGTCCACCTGTTTTTTGCTAGAATTACGTTTACATACTCTCTTCTTTTTTATGATGCGGGCGCCGTGCTACGACAGCAATGAATCTCACGTTTGCAATACAAGCTCAAAATATGTACATTCTATGCCTTCGAAGATAAAGAAGTTGTTCCCCGTGGCTGGCGGGCCTGGGTTCCTTTTGGTGAGACTGTTGAAGCTGTAAGCTACGTAAGCAATCATATGCCGTACATGCAGTGCTTTAGATGCTGACAAAATTGAAATGGATGATTATGTAAAGGTTCATATTTAGTCGAATATGGTACGCTCATTTTGATTTTGTGTGTAGGAAAATGTTATTCTCATTGATATTGTATTCTTTTTGTCTACCGTTGTCGTGTTTTTTTTTAAAAAAAAAAATTGCAAGAAATAAAAACTCCCACGGAATGAAAAAAAAAAAACGATGAAGAAACAAACACTGTTGACAATAAACAAGAACACTAATATCATCTAAGATCATATCCACACATCACATAAAAAGCCATTACCGATATAAGTAAACAGACGTGGAACATGGTGCCTCGTACTGACAAAGGAACGGGGACACATGGTCTGAGTGAATTGACAGACTAACCGGTCCTGTCAAAAACATGTCCCCAGACCGTTTACACATAAACCAGCCGCTCCCAGCCGCTAATATTGTAAATATGCTACAGTCGCAGGAGCCCCGCGGAGGGTTTCTACGTGATACATTCCTCGGAAGATTCACGAGCCCATTCGCTTAAATGATGAAAGGGTACACTATCCTGGCGCGACTTAAAAACACGTCCATAGCCATTTCCTACTATTTTATTCATATATACATATATATGAATGCCCGGTTCCCGTCCAGCTTTCACCTTTACGACCACAATCCGTGACCAAGGTTTCACAACTTACACAACCCGCCTATCCAAATATTTCCTCTTACGTGCCAGATCAATTTGGCTGCCAACCACGCACCGATACCCTAGAAAGCACCCTCTACAAATGGCAAAATCAGTTCCATCGTCAGCCGCACCCACTATGCACCGCAAAATGCGCGCCTGGGTGCGCACAAAGCGCGGAATGCCCCCAACATCGCTGAAGTTAAGGACAGATGTCCCCACACCAGCCAATCCTACGGGATCGATTTCGTCTGATGTCATCATTCGTGTGTCGCACGTCGCCCTTCAGTTCAACAGCAGGCTTTTTCTGAATTTGCTTCCCTCTGTTCCGTTTTGGGGCAGCCGTACTTGGATCCCGGAGCTCGAGTTTTCTGGCGAGGTTGTCGCTGCTGGCGGTGGTGCGCCGCCGGAAGTTCGGGACGTCGGCACCCGTGTCGTCGCTTTCCAAACAATTTCTGGCCTTGCGCTCGGCTATGGTGTGCTGGCTGAATATGTGCGAATTCCCGGAACACAAGTTGTGCCTCTGCCAGAGTCCGTGGACTTTGTCCAAGCATCTGGTGTGACCGGGGCTGGGTGCACTGCCCTCAAGCTCTTGCGCAAGAGCGGCGTCAAACGGGGTCAACGCGTCCTGATCAACGGTGCCAGTGGGTCTGTGGGCTCTGTTTTGATACAATTGTGCAAGTCGCGTGGTATCTACGTCGTCGGTATTGCGAGCAGCGCAAACGAGGCCACAGTCCGCGGCTGGGGCGCTGACGAATTTGTCGACTACCGCGCACACGTTGGGTCGCTGCCGGAGTTCCTTACCGAAACATACCGTGACACGCCCTTTGACTTTATCATGGACTGTGTAGGCACCCAGGACCTATTCGTTGGCTCCCCTGGGTATCTCAAGGCTGAAGGTGCGACGCTCAACATCGGGGCCCTAGAAGGTGTCTTCCGGGTCACGGGCAACTTGCTGTCTAATATGCTGCGGCCCGTTTGGTTAGGCGGCGTACCGCGTCGTTACATTTTTTTCAGCTCCCCACCTTTGCATGATGATGTCGTTATTCTTGCACAACTAATGGGCGAGGGAAAACTGACAACACCGGTAGACTCAGTGTTCGACATGGAAGAACTCTTAGCTGCGTACGATCGTATCGCTACTAAGCGAGCCTGTGGGAAAGTAGTTATCAAGGTTGGTCCCAACTAGGAAAATTCTGGGATATTTGGCAAAATCAGGACCTAGCCTTAGAATTTAAAGCTGTTAACTTTTCGTCCCGTCATACTTTGTATTTTAATTCTTGAAATACTGTTTTTGAGCAACTTAAAAACTAGAATACATATCAACATCATATCTCCGTGGACGGCATAGGATATACATGAAACACGTGGAAGCGCCAGCACAGTAACTCAAAGAATAGTGCACAAATCTGACGCCGTCAAAGAATGACCCAAGTCTTCATTGGCACAGCCAACTGTTGACGGTGACGCAATATGGGCATTGCGAACCACGCGACCTGGATGGAGAGCCTTAGCAATGTCGTTTAATTCTCTCTCCGGGTTGACTCCAGGGCGGTATGTGGAGAAAAGACGGAGTATGCGCGTACGTTGGCTTGCGTCGCCGTCCGTAAAGGACAGAGAAAAATATGCAACGAGAAGACACAACGGCATGAAACTGGAGCCTAGAGGATAGTATTGGAGGGCTTGTCCTGCGACATCCACAATGTCATCCCGGTACGCGTGGAGGTCGCCTGGCAAATCCAGCACGGCGAAGGCGTCCATGCACTCGGGCAGCGGAACCAACGACGACAACACGGACCCAATACGCATGGCAATGAGTGTTAGCATTCCAAATGCCGTCTGCCACCGGAGATGGACACGGCAAAGCGCATCCGAGATTGGGAATTTGGCTTGATCATCAGGACAAGGGGTGGCCGGTATTGTGGCTAGCAGAGCGGACAACTTGGTTCTATCAAGTCGCACGCGGTGATATGCGACAACCAGCTCCATCTGGTACACGTTGGGCTCCCGAAGAAGTTTCACAACGTGTGCGAGATAGCGGTTGCCCAAGCTGTCGATGTTGAGAGGCTCATCCCTGGCAGTAGTTGGGCCATGGGGTTCCGGAATTTCCCATAGGTTGTCGTCAAGGCTAATGCGTGGGTTGATAAAGCCCTCCATAACAACAAGAAAACATAACGTCGACATGACACTGTTCTCAAAGTCGCCCCAGGACGACTGGCGGTGTCTTTTGATCGATCGTAGAATCATGGCAACAGCTTCGCCGTGACTTGGCAGGTTGCCTCCATCTCCCTGTAGCCAGCCCTGGGTGACGACGACCAGGTACAGGGCACAAAGGGTATTGGGCGACTTGATGGCAACAGGGTCGCAAAGGGCCGTTCGTAAGGAATGTAACGCGCGGCCATATTCCTGCAGCATGGGAGCGGTGGCGCGGTTCACAGGTTGTAGCGCCTTATCGTAATCGTCTGTGCCTGTTTTCCGTAGCACTAGTGGAAGAGTTGACGCAAGCGAGGCAGCAGCAGCGTCAAGGGCTGGGTTGCTACCGAGACGTTGGGGAATATCACGGATGAAGGAACCGTAGACGGATAGATCGAAGCGTGGATCACTGACCTCCAGGGCCGATACGAGACGACTGATGACAGCACCCTGTGCACTGCTCCCCAAAGGCGGCAGCAACGTCGGTCGATGTACCAGCTCCTGTGATCTTGGGGCTGCGTGAGAAGAAGCCGAGGTTCCGGGCGATCGTCTGCGTAATGGCGGTTGCGTTACAGTGTTGTTGTGGAATTTGTAGCGTTGTTGGCCGCTGCCAGTGCATTCAATCTGCAAACGAGTGCAGCGGCCACAGGCAGGTTTTTTTTGATCACACTGCACGGTCAGACAAATAGGGCAGGAGCGCAGCAAAGGATAGTATTCAAGATACCGGGGTGAGCTGTCCAAAGATGGGCAATACGCGTATGCTGACCTTTTTCTTCTGGCGCCGGCAGGCGTCGCAGCCCCGGCTGGACGGCACGCCTGGCATGGAGGCCGTTTGGGTTGGTCGCTGACCTCCTCAGTAGCTTCGTCGTACGGCTGGAGTCTTTGGTCGGTGGGCTATTTGGTGGCTACTGCGTTGGCAAACTGTTTGCACTGAACACGAGCGCTGCATTGAACCCGTTTGGGAAGGAAGCTCTTTTTGAAGATTGGAAGGCGGTGAAGGTAATGGCATTTCGACAAAACTTGAGGCTGTGCTAAGGGCTCATCAGACATGGCGCAATAGGATGTACGGTTGGGAAAACAGGTACGGTTGGGTTAAGGTTAATTCAAGGCGGCGGACGCCAGCCTTTTGGGTCGAAAGTAGCTGGTGCTGGCAGGCTCAATCGAGACCACATTTTCAACTATTCCAAATTAGGTTAAATGCGCCGCTCCTGGGAAGTGAGATGACGCGGAGCGACGTCAGTGCTATGCGGGCAAATCGCCCGAGTCGGGTCAGCAGCAAAGATTAACGAGGGGGGCAAGGGGGCAACGAAGACATCGAATATGGGAAGAGCTGTAGACGTCTTTAATTCCCGTAATGTAGGATTTGGAAAAAGCCTCGTCCAAACTGCTTGGAAAGCCTGCCTGTTTCCCATCCAAGAAATGCTCAGCGGCAAACTTGTTGCACAGCCTTTTGCTCGGACATCAATGACTGCCAATTCGCCATGTCGCGCCGAATTGTATTTGTGTTTGGAGCAATTTTGGGATTGGTTGAAGAGAATGCGGGCGCCGCACATTGTTCTATGGCTGTTTATGGCACGGACAAACGTATATAAATACAAGCCGAGCCCGAATGTCGACAGCAGGATAGAGCGCAACATCAACGTCAACTTCATCCATCGTCACCATGAAGCTTCTACACAAGATCATCTTGACCACGTGTCTAGCGCCATCTGCGCTCGCCGATTTCACTACGGGGAGCTGGCCTGCACCGGTCGATCTTAGTAGCAAGTCCAGCCTTGTTCGCAAAGCATTTACGAATATTACAGCCACGCTGCAAGACTTTATTTTGCAAGACGGTAACATCAGTTCACCGGCGCCGCAGCTCATACATGGCATCAGCAACCTTACATTCTCATTGGGGGTCTTTTCACGTTATGACGATGCCGCTTCAGAAGTACTACAACACCACTACACAGCCCCAGAAATCGCCACAGCTGGCAATGGCACAACCTTTGTCGATGCTGACAGCATCTACCGCATTGCCAGCGTCACCAAGGTCTTGACGACTCTATCCGGGCTGCTTAAACTGTCGACACCTGACTGGGACCGACCTCTATCCGATATCTTTCCCGTCCTGTCGTCATACGAAAAACATTTCCCCGGTGGCCCCTTTGCCGTCAATTGGACAGCTGTCACACCGCGCAACCTGGCTGCTCAAATTAGCGGCGTTCCTCGGGATGGCTTTCCAAGTCTCAACGAGCTGGAGATTTTGGGGCTTCTCGGTAATGTCGACACAGCGGCTATGGGACTGCCACCCCCAAACAGCAGTGATCCTCTCCAGAATCCGCCATGTGTCAATTACCTACTCGGAAATACTGGTTCAGCTGAGCCCGCAGGAGGTGACAGTGGAGTATCGCTGTGTCCTGCAGAGCCGTACCTGGAGAGTGTCGCAAATCGCCCACCAGCGTTCAACCCCTGGTCATCACCCGGATACGCCAACAACGGGTTTTCGTTGCTCGGCCTGGCCTTGGAGAACTTGGTCAATACTACATTTGAAAAGCTGGTTCACAGTGCCATATTTGGCCCGCTGAACATGACCTCTTCCAATATCGACACGCCACCAAAAGAAATGTGGAACCGCAGTGTAATTGCCGATGCGTCCACGCCGTCAAACTACTTTGACATTAACGCGGGAGTTTTTGCTGCTTCAGGTGCGGCTTCGAGCACATTAAATGATCTCACTCGTCTTGGCCGCAGCATCCTCGACTATACACTGCTCTCTGAGGCTGAGACGCGTCGCTGGCTCAAGCCTGTGTCATTTACCGGACGCCTGCAGTACGCAGTTGGGGCACCCTGGGAGATCCACCGCTACACGCTGCCTAACAACAAGGTCGTGGATCTGTACACAAAGTCGGGCGACTCTGGTGCCTATAGCGCCTTCTTTGTGCTGATTCCCGATTACGATATTGGGTTCAGCCTACTGTCTGCGTCGAGCACACTTAAAACCCGCTTTGAGATCCTTGCTGCCATTGCTGACGTGGTCACATACACTTTGGTGCCCGCCATTGATGCCCAAGCAGCGGCCGAGGCTTCTGCCAGATTTGCTGGAACATATTCGCTGGGAAACTCGTCGTTGACTCTTGTCGTTAACCAGACATTGTCACACACGCCTCCACGAGGTGACGTGCTGACCGGTCCTGGTCTTGTCGTTGCCAACTGGACGAGTAACGGCACCAACGTTTTGCATTCCGAACTGGCCACCTTTACTGGTCCGCTGCCGTACCGTCTCGTTCCGTCTATCCCAGAGCCGTCCGGAAGCCCTACCTTCCGCCTCTTGACTCCCATTGATGAGCCAAGTGCCCAGTTGCCTATTAGCTCTAAGCTCTTTTCTGGCCCCGGCTTCATAGGCGCAGACTGGATAGCGGTGGATGCGCTAACTTACGGTGGTATCGGGACAACCATGTTCCAATTTGACATCGGAAGTGATGGTAAAGCCTGTTCCGTTACAGTGAGTGCCTTCCGAGAAACGTTGCCACGTACAAACTGAACAAATCAGATCTCGATCGGCCGGTCAAATGTCGAACCTGGTAGTTTCTTTACTTAGATGCAATAGTCAGTTTCCGACCTGGGCGCCGTGGTTCAAATTTTCGGTATAAGTGCGAGGGCCGGTATTTTTAAAAGTGTCTTTTAAGTGACTAATTCAAAATACATTGCTCTCATTCGCAGAAAATGAACCACAGTTATGCACTCGAGAATCCGGTCAATGTATATTGCAACATGCAGTTCGGCAGATCCCAAAATTAAATACAGAAAAATCATTCCATAAATAGTTTCATAAAACTATAGCAAGGTTAGTATCTTAGTACGCCACTCATTGGCCAATTAGTACAGTTGGCTGGATGAAGTATGTATAACTGTTGTAGCCGCATTGCACTCATCCTTCCCCGCGTAGGAACCATGCCACAGCACTATGAACGACGCCTAATAAGATCTAGGGCTACTCACAAGTGGGGACTAGAATCCTGGAATCGCATGGTCTTCTGATTGCCGAGGTTCGAGTCGAAATCTAATCGCGAACATCGTGCGGCACCAGAACACACTGCGCCAACACACGGAACAATGCCGTGTGCATCGGCACAACACGCGCTGGGTCGGCCCAAGCTGCTGACGGAGCGCATGCTTGACGTGAAACCGGCCCCTGAGAAAGGAAAACACGTCTTCCGGAATGCCGAGCCCCTCTGGCAGCCAATTTGGGCTCGTGGGATTTATGGTGGTGCTCCATCATCGGCCAGGCGCTCGTTGTTGCCCAAAGGATCGTGCCATCGAATTTCTTTCCGCATAGCATGCACTGCCACTTCATACGCGCCGGAGTGGTCGGCAAGCACATCTACTATCACGCAGACTGCGTGCGCGCAGGAAAGTCTTTGTCCGTGTGGACCGTCCAGGCAAAGCAGCCGGTGGACATTATTTTCTCGGCCACAATTAGTTTTGCGCGCGACAATACCGGAGAAAGAAAAGCGCTCCGGCACCAGTCTCTTCCGTCTCCTTCTGTGTGGGCCAGTCGACCGCCGTCGGAACTCCGAGAGGATACCGATTCGAGGTTGCTTTCGGCAACCAGCCAAAAAGATAGCGGACATGTCGTTGAAAGTGTCCGTGTCCCTCGGACGCTATGTGACGAGGATACACCGTCCACTACCCGCTTGTGGCAATGGATTCGCGCATGCTCCGTACAAAGCAACATCATCGGCGGCGGCCTCGAAATGACAGATGGAAGTCGAGCTGCCCACCTGGCAGCTCTTGCATACATTTCCGATCACTATTTTATCGGCACCGTGCCCCGCATTCACAGAGCGGGACGGTTTATCGGGGCATCTTCAATTCTACAAATAAAGCAATCAATCGATGCCAGCACGTCACTGGGGAAGAAGAAGCTGCAATTGTTTCAGAAGCTGTCAAATGAAGAACTGGAAGACAATGCAGGGCCAGGGAGATCGACTGCAAATTCCCATGCAGGCGTTACCAACACAGTCGAAATGATGGTCACACTCAACCATACCATTTTCTTTCATAACCCCAAAGATATACGAGCAGACGACTGGTTGCTCGTGGAGGCGGAGACGCCATGGGCGGGTGATGACCGGGGTGTGGTCATCCAGAGGATATGGACGTCAGACAAGGTACTCGTTGCGACATGTGTGCAAGAGGGTATCATCCGACTGCAACAGGATGAGGCTGTGCCGAAGAGCAAAATGTAATCTCCTATACGACCTTTAAATACGATAGATTTGCCACAGCAGAGGTGCATGTATTCTACTTGTTCGGTTAGCATGGTCATATCATTGGACATCCAGACGCCATTTGTCTCTATCTAGCCTTCTTAATTTACGATTTTTGTATCAATATACTCGAGTATCTACGCCTCAGATCTTATAAAGCTCTTGAACATCAATACCCGGCTGCTCGCGCTGCTTTTTCTTGTTCAACAAATAGTACTGCACGTTGGCGATGACCGACATGACCAGACCAACAGACACTAGCGCCAGCATGACAGTCCAGCCAGTCTTGTATAGCGGGCTGTCCTTGGCCTGCAACAGCTGGCTGCCTACAATACCGGAGGTGTTGGCCGACATAATGAAGATGGCCAGGGTGATGGAGCGCTCGCCGGCCGATTTGGCGTTAGAGGCCATCCAGGACCCATTGACAGGGTGCCAGTTGGAGCCAAACGCGACGCTAGTGACCAACAAACCGAACCGCAAGTGGGAGTTGGCAGAATGGATGGCCAGACGATTGCCGAGCTGAAAGCCCCAGTAGATGAGCATACCGAGAAATACCATAAGTCCACGGCGTCCATATCTGTCCGAGATGAAGCCCCAGGACACATTCGTAATGAGCAGCATCCAGGCGCCGATGGAGGTCATGGCGTTAGCCTTCAGTTTGGGATATCCGAACGAGGCGACGAGCGTAGGGGCATACGACATCATGGTGGAGGCCGGCGACAGAGCGCTGATAGTAAGGATGACATGAGGAATCAAGCGCCAGTTGGTTAAGGCGTTCTTGATTTCCTGCTTGCTGATGTGAGTGTGCGTGTGGATCTTGGATGGATCGTCAAGCAGGACGCGGCGAGAGAGAATGTGGACCTCGCGCTCGTTAAAATAGCGGATACCCAAGATGGAGACAGGGTTGCTAGGGCTCTTAGGGAAGAAAGTGATGAAGAGAATTCCGATGGCAACGGTGATCATGCCTTCGATCTGGGAGTTGTAAGCTTGCGTTTGTGCATATTGGGTGTGTAACATGATTGGTTAAATTGAGACATACCAGGAACAGCCATTGCCAGCCGGCAAGGCCACGGACGCCACGCATGTGCAGGCTATATGACGTCAGTAAACGAATGAGTACGAAATGGCGCAGCATATAGGTAGTACTTACATTCCGTATGCCACGAGACCCGTGCAGGCACCGGCCAGCATGTTGCCGAGGAAGAACACCGAGAATCGCTTGCTAGTCTCGTCGCGCTTGTACCACCGAGTGATGGTGTAGAGACCAGCCGGGATGAAGCCAGCCTCGCAGAGACCGAGCAGTAGACGGGTGGCGAGGTACGGGCCGAGGCCATGCTGGAAAGCCTGGAAGGTAGCAACGAGGCCCCATGCGATGATCTGTCCGCCGATCCAAATAGTAGGGCCGAGTTTGTACAGAACAATGTTGCTGGGGATCTCTAGCAGCACAATACCTAGCGAGAGCAGCTGCTGACCGACGTTGAACTGGTACTGGGTGATGCCAACGTCCTTGAGGAAGTTGTCCGTCAAGGCATTACCAATGTTACCACGGTCAATTTGCAGAGCGAAGAATGCCAACGTCAGCAGCGCCAGAACAATGAAATCGAGCCTGATGTTGTTAGATTTCGGTGTACAAGCGGGCAATCCAAAGGGCATCTTTTGGTGAGTGTTGAATACTCACTTGCGGACGAGCTTTTTTTCCTCTGCGTCGGACCAGTCGCGCTCGACGTCAGACTGGTAGCCATCGCTGTTGCTGACGTCGGTCGATACGCCGACCTGCTTCTCATCGATTGTCGGCGTTGACGACATTGTGGCAGGGTTCGAAATATGTATGAGAATAGAGATATTGGTTGATGGAGGGTATCGCAATAATGGACAGAATTTGAGACAGACGAAGGTAAAAATCTAATTTAAAAAAAAAAGATAAATAAACAGGGCGCTCGCGTGTATCGGTTGTTGACGAAAGAAAGGACGTCGCTTGAGGACAGTATTATATGCGGTTTCCTGTTTATCAAAATAGTCATCTGTACCGTCGAGTCGGGAACGATCTGCAGCACTTTTTTATTTATGAATACAACTGGCCCATGGTGCTCTACTCAACTGCTTCACCGTCGTCGACGCCTGTCAAAATCTGTACAAGGCTCATTGTTTGATAGTGTTGAAGCGTCACAGACTGTAACCGAAAAGGTACCCCACACATAATGCATGGCGTCGTAATGCTACACAGCGTAAGGAATGGCGCCAATACTGCACCGAAGTTGCCCTAAGTTGCTGATGCCATCGTTTCGGGGCGGCACGCCATTCGCTTGGGCGTATAAGTGCAAGATTAGTGGGAGGGATGCGAAGAAACAGATTCATGAAATATTGAATGGCAACAAAAAGCCAGTGAAAACATATAGGAAAGACCGCGCTGTCCCCACAAATTTCGGGAGTTAGCAAGCCACCGTTGTCCCTATGTGACGCTAATGCCTGATGTTAGCAGACGGCAAAATGGCGAATTCGACGAGTATCATCAAGATAAGTGCGATCCCTCCCTGGTCTCTGTCATGTACGATGGCGATTGGCTAGATCTGACACTTACATGACTCGTGGCAGCCTCTTTGTTCGCCGAGGACCCAGCCGGACGGGGCCAACAGTGAGGGTTAAGCCGACAGGAGTTCATAATTAATTTCTATTGGTCTCTTCTTGGTATCAGAATGGATGATTTCAATGATCAGGCCTGGACCGACTGACACAGAAATCGTTGGCCATGGCCAGAATTGCGTCTTGTTTATTGGTTGTGAGCCTATAAACATGCTCGCTTTTTAATATGAAATGTCTCTTTTTTTTTTATTTTGTTGACTCATATATGGTACGTTTTCTATGTCTTTGTTGTTAGCAATTTAATACACTTCTATTATTTACCTTACTTATTTACAACTCCTCCTCTGTTGGTCATTCTAAGTGACAGCCTGCAACTGCTCATCCATTTGCGAGCTTCTTTGGTTTCATCAACATTCGCAATCGTGGTGCTAAAAGATACCATTGAGGCGTCGGATGGCGCCATCTCTACTAGCTGGCCACGTTGGGGCTTCTCTTAACACCACCAAGTTGGCTAGCGGTATTTGCGAGCACCACCGAACAAATTCCGCCGAAGCATTGAACGCATGTTAGGATGTAAGTTGCGGGGAAACGGTAATAAGAATAGTTCGAGTAAATAACCCAACTCCCCCGATATGACCGATGTTGTGATGCCACTGGAAATGGCATCCTGTGGAAAAGTGTAAAACTGCTCGGTGGTATAAATCAAATCATACGGTCGATACAAAATAAAACACACGAAAAATTAATCTAAACAACCAAAAATTTCACTCTCCCCCATCACCAAAATGGGCAATCTTGAATCCCAAAAGCACATCTCGCCCGACTCTGGGTTTCCCATCACCATCCATCCTGCTTTCAACAGCAAGATCCAGGCTCATGTTCCGCCAGAGCCGTTGCGCAAGGAGGTGTTTCCCGACAAGGACCGGGCCCTGTTCGCCGATCCTGAGAAAAAAGCCCTGTTCTCGGTGGCCAAGCGTGTTGACCTGACCGAATCCATTGGCACCGTGCTCGAAAATGTGCAACTGTCGCAACTGTCGCCACAGCAGCTTGACGAGCTGGCGCTACTGGTCACGGAACGCGGCGTGGTCTTCTTCCGGGACCAAGACCTGACGACAGACAAGCAGGTCGAGCTGTTCGAGCACTACGGCATCCTGGACCGACACCCGGCGCAGAAAGATGTGCGCCATGTCGTGATCAAGGGCAGTACCGAGGATCACCGCGACATTTTGAGCTACACGCCGTGGCCATCAGGCGATTTTCACGCCGACACGTCCTTTGAGATCAACCCACCGTCGTATTCGATGCTACGAATGGAGGAACATCCTGCTGTAGGCGGCGACACAGCGTGGATCTCTCAGTACGGCTTGTACGACGCACTGAGCAAGGCCATGAAGACATTTGTTGACGGGCTACACGCGGTACACACGAGCCGGCTGCAGTATGATACGATTATCGATCTATGGGGCGTGGGCCCCAACCGACCACCCATTGACACACACCACCCGGCAGTGCGCACGCACCCGGTTACTGGCCTCAAGGCGCTCAATGTGAACCCGGGTTTTGTGACTGGATTTGCCGAACTGAAAAAGGTCGAGAGTGACAAGCTGCTCGACTTTTTTCAGTATCACATCCACTCAGCCGACGACCACTACGTGCGTTGGAAGTGGGAGGTAGGCAGCGTGGCATTCTGGGACAACCGCTGCTCAGTGCATCGCGTTATTCCCGGCACATACAAGGAGACACGTCGCGGTATCCGAACGACCGTCTTCGGCGAGAAGCGTACGTACACTTCGAGTCTAATGATGATCATACCAAAAGAGATATACCTTACTAACATGTGCAGCATACTTTGACCCCAAGAGTGAAAGCCGTGTTGAGAGAAAGGATCGTCTCGATGCCCAGCGCGGCGTTGTCCAAGAAAAGCGGCCTGTTGTGCCGATCCTGGAGGACAAGGAGCCGCAGGCCAACACCCCGGCGTAGACAAAATGAGTCGATATATCAAATGGATTCTAAATTTAAATTGAAAACCATGTAAGCAAGTTTGAGGACAACGCGTGAGATGCACCTATCTATTTTGTTCTGTCTTTGAACGAAGAAAACAAGCAAATAATCCAAAACTATTACGTTTGAATCCGTCTACCATCTGGTGTCACACACTCTCCGCTAGATCACGTTCGTCCAGTCATGCAGTCCAAAAAACAGTAGCACCATCTAAGATGAGCTTAAAAACTGGTGCTAACTGGATGGGAGACCATCCTCGGGGGCCAGGCAGGAGCCGTGGGACAAATTATCGCCCGTCTCGATGGCAGTTCCACTAAAGATGTGGAAGATGGGCGTGCAGCCTGGGTCTGGCGTTAACGACGAGAATATCACCACCACACCCCCCTTCCCTGCAGCCCATACCTTCCAGCTAGCGAACAGCACGAGCTTCTTCGATAATATTGCTTTTGACGGTCCCAAAACTTAAACATGCCGGCACCGTCAAATGCCGAAGGGTTAACGTCCCGATAAGCCGCCTTGTTGTCGGCAATGTCTGGCGGCAGGGGCGTCTCACGCTCCAGAATGCGCACCAAGTCACGGCGCCGGGTCATTCCTTGACCACTAGAAAGTCCACAATCTCGCCAACCTCCTCCTTGGTCAGACCACACTTTGTCTCCATGTACGCTGCCGCGCCGCCAAATTCCTCCCGGAGCATCTTGAGTGTGTCCAGCATGCTGTCTTTGCGAGCACCCACCATGCGCCGCGCACCCTCCTCACTGGTTGCACCCTGCTTGAGTACGGCCTGAACGAGCAGCTCGGTCCACTGGCCCAGGCCGGCCTCGGTCAGGTTGTATTCCTCGGCTACTACCAGGTCCGGTACGCCACACACGCTCAGCAACAGCGCCCCCAGGACACCTGTGCGATCCTTGCCAGCCGTACAGTGAATTATGAAGCATTGTTGCTTAGCGACCCGTGCATCTTCCAGAATGTGTCTTAATATAATACCGTACGACGCCGCGCCTTCGGTCAGAATAGCCCGATACGCATTGACCATGCCCTTGGGGTTCTCGTCTTGGTAGTCGGCGTACCGTTTGGCCAGGCTCACGGGGTCGTAGCTCTCGGCGCGGAACACGGGCGTGAAAACGCGCGTTACACCGGGCCAGTCGACCGTCTTAGGCCCCGTGCCGGCCACCTGCAACTTTTGGATCTCGGGCAGCGAGCGCAGATCGTAAATGTGCGTCACGCCGAGGCCGCGGACGGTATCAACGGCTTCAGGTGTCGCGCTGGTCGGCTCTCCACACCGAAAGATGTAGCCTCGGCGAACGGTACCCGTCCCGCTCTTACTGGATACGACATAGCCGCCAAGGTCGCGAAAGTTGGGAATACCCTTGAGATGGATAAATGGTGGCGACGGCAGAGATGTCGACGTCTCCGGGTTGACAGGGCCGTGAGACATGGCTGTTGTGGTAGTCGCAGTGGTCGCGGTAGTGTTGGAAAGCTGAGTGAAGAGAGATTGGGAGGGTGGCAGCCAAGGTTGGCCGAGTCGGACAAATGCGGGCATGCAAGAGTACGGCCCGGGACACTGGTACAGAATCAAAAATGAAAAGGCCGGGACGGGTCTTACGGGAGCGCACCAATGTTACATCGGCGTGGTATTTTGGTTGGTTGCCGTTTTAGATTAACCGTCCAAAAATGAGAAAATGCGAACCCAACTAGAGAGCAGAAAAAGCAACACACAGAGTCCGAGGCCGGGAATGACCGGGCCACAGTGAGCCTAGTGTGCAATAGACAAGGCGCTAGCAGCATCACAACAAGCTAATCCACGTACGTTGGATAAGAGGGATCAAGGTGGTTCACATATTGGAGAGTCAACCTGTCTTGTCTATTGTATAACAGCCTCTTTCTACAGCATTTCATGCGCAAGACCCAAATCCGGATCCTATCATCCAGTCAACTAATATTGATAGCAGAGCTAGCCAGTCAATTTGCCATTGGGAAGCTGGCAAAACGTGTAGGCACAGAGCCAAAAGGCCATACAATGGCAGGCCGTCTTTGGCGAGGGTGACCACATTCGTGGTATGATGTGTGTTGCTGTGTAGTGGGGAGGGGAAGATGCCTACTGACGAGCCCATGCCTTTCATGTATCTCTCGCCTAAGGCTATGTGCCCGTCTATTGGGCTCCATTCTCTATTAATGGTTTAGTGGCATTACGAAGTTATGTCCGGGGCCTCTTGCCAGTGGCTGGGCGCCAGTTGTGTCATACGCCTTTGTTTGAAGACCAGCGACGGCTGGAGAGGTAAACCATTGTCATTACGCACGAGTACATTATTTGCATTTTGACTACTTGATCTGGCGTTGTTTCATAAAGTGTCCAATACCTCCTCATCGCCATAAATACCACCGCTGTCCTCTGCTGGTTCTTCGTGAATTACTCGCCTCTATTTGGAATGAAAGCACAGCCGTCAGCGCAAAATTCAATGTTGCTAGGTTGAACCATCCATTGTGTGTCATATGAATTGGCCAACGTTTTCATCACCCGTATTACCTGAATTTCACCTAACTGACAGACGCTTTTGCCATTATCAGGTCTACGATGTACGGTGCTCTCTCCAGAGGTCCCATGCTGATAACCGGATTGCACCTGGCTACGCCGCACTTGCACTCATCGGTAGTATAAACATTGGCCGTCACAAGACCACTGTGGGATGAACGACGAGCCACCAGGGACCGAGCAAGTCGATGGTGTAGATACTGGGGCTGGCCTGAAGACACCGCAGCGCACCGTCGTCAGTGATGAGGTCCCCGACGAGCACCGGCGAATGGAGAAGAAAATCAATCGACGTGTCTGTCGACATTCGGCTCGCATCGATCCATGGAATTTCGTACCCATTGCCGGCCTCGATTGTGTGAATTTGCCCAACCCTCGTCGCAAGCCGCGGCTGAGTAACTTTGTTTTCAGCGGGGGCCCGGTGATGCTCAGTATGGGCTTTTCCAAGGGCCGATAGGTGATTGTAGTGCTGCATACTGAATAGCATCTTCGAATTCAGCGTCCTACCGTGCTGCATTGATCGTCTCGGCTGTTGGTACCAGCCGTTCATGGTTCAGCAATGCATGGCTTTCCGATATATTATCAACGTGTTTGTGTCTGCGTTTGGTAATATCTTTGCTTACGCTCTGATCAGTCTGAAGTCCTCGTATGGTATCACCGAGAGTCGGTGGATGTTCATCATTAAAGTTGCTATTACCATTGGCTTTACTTTTGTTAGCAATGTGTTTGTTCTGCAGTTCTCTAATCAGATTCTCTCCAGCGAGAAAACTTTTCCGTTTCCGCGGGGAGATCATTCAAAAATTTTGTGGAGCGCGATCGTGGTGATGCAGATCTTGGTCACCTCACTTTCAACACGGTCATATGCCATTCGATAGACTGGCCGCCGTGGGTCAACAATCGCATCTTCTAGTACTGTTCCTCACCCATCTATGTGTTTGTCTACTTCATTCAGACCATTCTGTCAACTATACGCTGCTTCATTGCCAACGTGTTCCTCCTCGTGTGCTCCTCCCTACATATTCTCCACGATCTAGACTAACGTTGCAGTTATCCTTGCAGACTACAATCATCTGCGTATACTCTAGACTGTGTTCGGCTCGGCCAAAAGCTCAGAGGACTGCTTGACATGGCTTGTCACCAGAACAACGCCATCTGTTTCTTTGGTGTCTTTCTGGGTGTCAGCTGCGGCAGCGCCGGCCTTCACATAATTATTTCCTGCTAGTCTAGCAATATCCGTTCCAACTCCCGCCGGCCCGTGGGCAGTGGCGTACAGATGCTCTTTGCCGCGCTTGGCGGCATCCAGGAGGAGCAGGATCTCCGTTACACGTTCTAAGATATGTGTATTGTAAAAACATGACGGTAGCATCTGTCAAAAGGTGTTGAGGGTTGAGTAATGGGAAACATTGCCAGTATGTATCTTAAATGGCAATGCACTGTATTATGTCTTACATCGCGTACAAAATTCATCTTACATTGTGCAATTCTATTAGATCTGTCGTTATCTCTCTCAATGCTATATCCCCTTTTTCCGTCGCAAACTTCACTCGATAAATGCGTTAATTGGCTCCGTTATTGCGGCAGCAGGATGAAATGTGGCTGTCATTCGTTCGTTCTTCTTTTTTTCTGTTCTTCCGCGGATACAGTTTGTCTTCGGCCGGGTAATGTGAAAATCTTCCCAACGTCCGGGCCAAGACTTGTGGGCGGCACATATAATGGCCACAGATATGGCTGATTATTTTTTCTTATCGGTTATAGAGTGTGGCGACTTAAATGAACCTCATATATCGATCGTAGACCCCCCTTCACTAAGATGTCATGACTTCATTCGAGTTGTTGATTTCGAGATGCCATTCCACCAGCGAATTTTCACTGTACCCCTCTCTAATACCATTCCTCAACTCCGGAGAAATTTAGACAAATAACAGCGAGCCTTGGCAAGCCACCGGCTTCTTCTAGCCCCGGAGTGCAATAACGCATCGGGAAGCCATCACCAGGTACGCGAGAGCGACAAACATTCAAACCCGGATATAAATGCCGAGATTCAAAGATCCACGTTTATGATCCTCCAGAAAGCGGAGCGTACAGGGAGGTTCTTTCACTGTGAGTGTCATTGGCCTTAGAACAGAAGTGCTTTGCCAAGAAATCGGCAACCAAATAGAATATAAGAAGGTGGAGGCGGGATAATCGTATAGGATGTAAGCGCCGCCAAGGGCTCTTCCTTCTAAAGCACGGCTGCTTGCTATATATGCAGTTTTACGAGAATACAGATAAGTGACCTACCTGGCATGACCAGTAGTACTTGGGCGCAATGCTGGGACTCTTGCGGGATGTTCTTCCTTTGTTTTTGCTCAATCACACTTCTCACATCAAGCTCGTTGTTATCGTATATTAAAACGTTTAAATGAGGCTAAGATCCTAATGGGACGATGTTGCTGTTGTGTCGGTGCAGTGTTAAAATATTCTCACATCTCTCGATGCATGCTAAATTATATCCAGGAGTCATTGTTCCGAGTCCGCCTCTTCATTCCTTTACACACTATCTAAATTGCCGCTCAAGCAGTGGCTCACGTCCAGAAATGAAAGGGAGCCCCAATATCCCTTTCTCATCGTCTTCCGGTCTTGGGCAGAAGCTTTGTCCTGCACGGTCCCGTCTTCAAAAACAAGCCGCGATACAAGTTCCTCCGCGAAGCGCCGGTGCCAAATTGCCCGGTTGAACTCCAGTGATTTTGATAGAGTCGAGCAGGAGGACACTCTCAAAGGAGCCAAAATCCGATGAGGTATGCCGGCAACATGCCCTTTTCTGTTTTGAGTATAAAGCATCGTGGATCTCTTCCCGTTTCTCGTGGTTTTGTGCCTTTCGTGAACCAGGTAGAAATCTTGCGGCAATTCAAGTCCATTTCACGGCAAGCAATACATCATGAAGCTCTGTATTGTATCTTTCCTTATTCTAGGCCTTGTGGCTGCGGCCCCGGCACCTGTTGCCGCGCCTGCGCCCTATGATCGACATCTCCCTGCTCGCAAGGGTATGTCTCCCCGTTATAACCAGACGCAATACATGATTTACTAACAAGTTTTATCGTCCAGGCGAGCCGCCTACCAATCTAATCCGCCGGAATCTGGGCGTAGATGGCGCCCAGCCCACTGGTACTGCCACTGGCACCGGAACAGCACCAGCTACGCCGCCTCTCAAGACGGGATGGCCAACGTCTGCCAACACGGCGCCCAAACCTCAGGCTACAGGAACTGGAACCGCCTCCAAGGCCGCTCGTATTATCCCCACAGGCACCAGACCCCTCGTCCTCGTCACCGGAACCGCCGGCACCATAGCTTCAGCTGGGCCGACGCAGTCTGCGGCTACGAGTTCGTACAATTTTCCATCGCCAACCACGACCAAGGTGGGCAAGCAGGCTGCCGAGGCCTCTTCGGCCTTCTGGTGGCTACAGAACTAGCCGGCATGTCTTTTGTTGAAATTGGTTTTATGAGCCCTGTTGGTGAAGGACTCTTTTTATTTTCGTTATAATCTTCTTTACATCATGTACCACGTGTGGTATTCAAATCAATTTTGACTCATTTTACCTTGACTGTATGTCGACATTCAAATAAAGAATGGTATAAGAGAATATCACAAACTGAGATATGTTGGGGAGTAAAAATGACACGATTATGTTGATAAGACAGAGGTTGTTATTTCCTGACCTTTCGCATCTAATTCTTTTATATAACAACATGGAGAAGTTGCCCAACGAAACGGCCCGGATCTGTCAAAAAGCAGCGTTGATGTGTTTCCTTAGACCGGTTTAGTCAAGCGACGAAAGCCAATGGCTCTAAGCAGTGCCAGGCAATGGAGAACAAAGAATGCGGCCGCCGTTCCTTGTCGTGCCGTTCCCGCCGTCGCCACCGTACTAAGACGACGAGACTGAGACGCGGGCTACGGGCAGACCAGCTAACGGCGGACACGGGACTTTTAAGACAGTCGGGCTCTGTTGAAAAAAGGAAGCTGCTAAATCTTGAATTGTTCGTGGAGAAAAGCTTCGCCAGTACGCTAGCCACGTTTCAATAAGGGTTCAGTTGAATTTTATTGATTTATATCGTCTTGGTCGTTTCTTTGCAAACCACGTCGATGGCCGTCCTTTTATGTTCTCGTTCTTCCTCTTCTTCTTGATCTCGCCTATGCTCCAGTTTTTCGTCTCCAGGTCTGCGTCATCTGCTCTTTTGCTGCTCGCCCCACCATTGCTCCGGCCGCGGGCCTTGTAGCCCTAAATTACCGTTTGCTGCCTAGCTGCGGTATTCATGCACAACAACGTCGCCGCTTCCGAGTGAAAACCGTTTTGCTCGCTGCACCTTCCCTGTAATTGCAGTGGCTGGGAGAAGCGCTTTCATCTTACATGCAGCGTTGTTACAGTATTGCAGGGGTGAAAAGTGGGGCTCCTCCCTCTGTTTACCCCTCCGTGATGGGTCCGAGAGAGGGCGATGACGATTTTGCAACACCTCTATTTCCCATCCTCGTAGGGTTTGGACAATCCCGAAGGTACCGGATTGATGGCCTTCCAGATGCTTCGACAGCTTGTGCTAAGCAGATGAAGCATTTCCTTCTCCGTTTCCCCATTGCTGTTTTTTTATCGAGACTTGTCACCAGCCACTGCGAAGATTCTGTCTCCGTTTCCCGCGGTACTGGCAAGGGCGATCGAGGGCAGGACAAACAGGCGGCCAGCGAAAGGCAGGTGCCACCCACCATCCTGCCATGATCACCTGTGCATACTTGGTCACACGGCTCTTTGTCCCTCCCGATTCCCACTCGGTTTCGTTCAGTTCTCGCCGTGGTTCAGGGCGGCTTTTCCTCTGCTCTAATGTACAAAGCTGCACAACGAACGGTTGGAAGCCAAGGAGGCTTGAGACATTCCGCAGGAAAGGTGACCTCGTTCGGCTGTCTTTGGTTGGAGCATTTTGGGCAAGGCAGTCACACTGGAAAATTATGTGGACCGTTCTCCCTCGTGCTTTCCTCTCTCGGTCTCGCACTTCTCGTAGAAGAACTTTGGCCCTGTCGCCCTCCTAGTTGCATTCTCAGCCGCCCTCCTTCCCCCCCAGTCCTCCAGCCTGTCAGCCATTGTGCTTGCCGTACTTGCACGACACCGACTACCAACCAGACCAGCCCAGTCTTCTCTTTCCCTACCCCTTCCTTGCCTCAACCCAGAGCCTCCCGTTACTGCGTCGCAGCCTTAAATCTTACGTCCTGCCTCTCTATTTTCTCAACATTTTGTCCCGTTCCTTCCTTTCGCTGCGCTCTTCCCCTTTTCCCTATCTCCCAGGCACTCTCAGATCCCCTTTCATTTCCCCTCCCCCGCTTCCATGCACATTTGACGTCAGGTCCCGCGATAGGCACATCGCACGTCAACAGAAGTGACACATACATCTATGATCTTCATCCTGTCCCATCTGCCATATGCAACTGTAATTATTACTATTTATTTACTGTTTCATACCTCCGGGTGGAAAGCACAATCCATCTCCCCCCACGTCACTCGGTACTAGAGGGCAACAACTGCCGCCTTACATAACTCCCCACAATGCCCGAGACCGAGTACTACGAAAGCTCGTATCGGCGTGACCGTGAGCGCGACGCAGCCTACTCGTCAGACGACGACGACCGCTACAAGAAAACTACTGTACGCCGCTACAAGGTCGGCAGCGGTGGCGACCGTGTCGAGCGCATCGAGCGCACGACCGAGCGTCACGAAGACGACTCCAATTCCCGCCACGGCAGGCCTGCGCGGCGCTCGTCCAACAACCTCCTCGATGTTGACCGCCGCGACTACGTGCCGGAGCGTCCACGGTCCGCATTTGAAGTGACGGAAACAACACGGCGCTCCGAGCGTGACCGTGATTACTATGGCGGCCGTGACGGAGGGAGCCGTGTTGTCTATGAAAAGACCAAGGAAATTGACCGGGTCGACCGTGGCGACCGTCGCAGTGATCGTGAGACCCGCCTCCAGCGACGCACCGATGACCAGATTGTCGTCGAGAGTTACTCTGAAGACCGCCGGGATGATGGGCATGGCGGCAATGTTGAGCGCTGGCACCGGGAGACCGAGTACTACGAGCCAGCCCCGGCCGCACCACAGCCTATTGTCATCCGTCAAGAGGCACCGGCTCCCGCTCCCATCATACTTCCCCGCCAGCAACCCGGCGTCGTTGTGATCCGTGAGAAGGACCGTGACCGGGACAGAAGGGACTCCCGCCACGATGACGAGTACTTTTATGAACGCCGAGAGCGTCGCGAGGTTGGACCTTACCGGGGCGAGGAAGAAGTGGCCGTCGAGCGCTACGAGCGGCGCGAAAGCGGCCATGGCGACGAACTCGACCGCCGCCACCAACGTCACCATCATCGCGATCGTCGTGACCATGCCTCCGACGGGGAGTACTCTGATGATGATTACTACGTCAAAAAGACGACAGTGATCCGCCGTGAGAGGTCCCCTTCCACTGACAATCATCACCGCCTCCATCTTGCCGAGGGTGCCCTGGCCGGTGCCGGCCTCGGTGCCCTGATCGGCTCGCGTCGCAACACCCAAACTGGCGAGTTGCCTGAGCACCGCGGCCGCAAAGTCCTGGCGGGTGCGGCACTGGGTGCTCTGGGCACCGAAGTCTTCAAACGTGCGCACAGCGCGTACAACGAGCGCTTTGGCGACGACGATGGAGACTACCGCGCTCGATCACGCTCGCGTGGTGGTGGCAACCGGTCGCGGTCTTCCAGCCGCCACCACTCCAAGCTTAAGACGGGCCTGGGTCTGGCAGCTGCTGCGCTTGCCGTGGCTGGTGCGGCCAAGTACATCCAGTCGAACCGCATCGACAAGGAAGAGCGCAACCGCGGCCGCAGCCTGCGCCGATATAGCAGCGGCGAGGAGGATTATGGCCATGGCAACCGCTCGGTGTCGCGCACCGGCACCAAGAGCCGGTCGCACTCGGTAGCCAAGGTCGCTGTGGGCACTGCCGCCGTGGCCGGCCTGGTACATCACTTCCGCTCCAAGTCACGCCAACGTGAAGGCAAGGCACGGTCGCACTCACGGCTGCGCACAGGTGCTGAAATTGCCGGTGCGGCCCTTGCCGGTGCTGCGGCCAAGAAGCTTTACGACAAACACAAGGATAAGAAGCAGCTGGAGCGCGAGCAGAAAGAGGCGGCGTACTACTCGGATGACCCATACTCCGAAGACGACCGCTACAGCCGCCACGGTCGAGGCTCACGGTCTCATTCGCGCAACAGGTCAGCCGCTCCGTCTCAATCACCACCACCTCTCTCCGGCGCCACGCGCACCCCCTACCCACCTTCAGGTGCTGACCCTGAGCTAGGACTGGTTGAGTATGGTGACCAGCCGCTGTATGCCGACCCGGGCGCCCCAGCGAGAGATGGCGCCATCGTTGGCCACCGTGGTAGCTACGACAGTGCCGCGGATGCCAGCGAGCGTGATGACCGACGGGCACGACGCCGCCACCGGCACTCTCGCAATGGCCGCGGTGGGAACGACAGTGACGACGCCGACGCAGATGTCGACAGCGACCGTAAATCGAAACGCGAACGAAGTCGATCTCGTCTCCGCAACCTGGCCACCGCCGGTGCTGGTGCCGCGGCGGCTGCCATCGGTATCAAGAAGTATAGCGACAGCAAGAAGAAGAAGGAAGAGGAGGCAAACAGGCGTGATCGTAGAGACCACGAGAGGGATCGTGATCACGACCGGGATTTCGACCGCGACCATGATCGGCAGCGTGACTATGACCGTGATGAGGATGTCAACCGTAGACACCGCCACAGACGTCAGTAACTTGCCCCTCCGTTTCCCATTTCACTGGATCTCCAAATAGCAGCTGACGCTCTTGTACAGACCATCGTGACGATGAAGAAGCGTATGATGGCTACTATGACGACTACGACAACAGTCGGCCGCCCTCGCCACCCCATGCATCGGGAGGTGCCTTCTATCCGCCTGCTCCTCCCGGCGGAGCCCCAATTGGTACCACAGGGGGCTTGATGCAGCACCCAAATACGGCAACAACCAACCTGAATGATTCCTATGCTCCGTACAACCCCGTCGACTACAGCGGCTACCCGCCTCCACCTGGCCCGCCGCCGACACGGGGTGCTGCGGATGTGCAGGGGGGCGTCCCGATCCCACATGAATCGTCGTCTGGCCCTGTCCCTGGACCTGCTCCCTACCCGGCATCATACCCTTCCACGCCGGCTGCGATTCCTTCCGAACCGGTGGAAATTCCTCCAGAAGGTCCGATTCTACCTGGTCCAGGCCCAGTATCAGGCGCTCCTCCTCCTCCCGGTCCGCCACCGCCTCCCGTCGGCAACGTATATGAAGCACCAGGTGCCAATGCGAATGACAACCCTAATGCCTCCGGTCGTGGCCGAGGCCGCAGCGACGACAGTACGATTCTCAACTCCCGTCAGCCG